CGACAGTTAGTGGTTAGCCCTCACATGCGTAAACTTAAAAAAGTTTTATATACAAAATGCCCCTTAATCAAATCTACCTACATACGCAATGATAGAATTTTTCGATTCGCACGCACCTCTCGCGCTGATAACACGTTTTGGACAAGGTAGCTCAATTGGTTAAAACAGCAGGATGGAACGCTGTAGATCTAAAATCATTTTTTTTTTATAACCCCTCCTTGAGTTTTATCTGTGTGATATGAGTAACGATTTTATTCGATACTAGCTGTGCCCGCGACATCGTCCGCGTGGAATAGTAACTTTAGGTGGAATATTACTCCCACTCTCACCTCACATCGCACCTACTCTAACTCCCACTCTAATTCCTACACTCACTCCCACTCCTACTCCCATACCCAAAAAGCCAAAGACGAAAGTTTCATTGTTCTAGCTTCATAAACCATGAATTGTATTCCTCTTTTCAACCCGTAACAACCCTTTTTTGGCATTAAGTAACCTATGTCCTTTCTCAGGCTCCAGAATGTCTGTGTACCAAATTTCATTTAAATCGGTTCAGTAGTTTCGGCCTTAAAGCACAGACCAAAGAGACAGACAGACAAATAGAAAGACAGACAGAGTTACTTTCGCATTTATAATATTAGTATAGATTAATAAAACTTAGTGTATTCAAGAAATAAACATATACATAACCAACGAATAAAATATCCACGCACCTTATTTAATTCGCATACACGAATAGTTTAACATAACATTCTCAATCACAATACAAGGTGCCTTTTCTAGTGTAAAACATGTAAACAGCTCGCAATAATTTTATATTGTTCTCGGATAGTACCCGTAAAGGCAATACTGAATTTATTAGCCCCAAACAATAGCCATGGGTACAAACAAGGCCTGTGTAATTTCAATAGCCGTTTTAACTTTAATGCTGGGAACAATGTGTGTCGATTTTAGAAACGTAATATTGATCTCCCCTAGCTGTAATAATTATGTTGTGGTGCGTACGTTAATGCCGTTGCCTTATCCTCTCATACGAGGGACTATTCCTGTTGTTTGGTTACATTTATAGTAGAATAGTTATTTTGGGCATTAAATTTTTTGGTTTTCGCAAATTTACTAATCGCTGTAGCCTAGAGTTAAATAATCCTAAAAATGAATATAGCTTTGAAAAGCAAAATTTCTATTCTGGCGGTCCCATACGCAAGAAACTCTTGTGGCTGTTTAACATTTTAATGATTCCCCGGGATTCGAACTCATTAACTTTTCGCTTGCAATCATTTAACCATTTAAATATATTAGAAAGTCCATACACAACTCCATTAGATCCCAAATAACAGCATACTGGTAAAGATCAACCATTTTTTCCCAAATATCAACAGAACTGGGACGAAACAGATGGTACTAGTACCGTAGCAGTTTTAATTTTGACAATAGCAACACCTTTCTTCTTAAGTTCCCTCAATGCTACAAAGTATCAAAAAAAAGTCGGGCCGTTAACTAAATTAAAAATAAGTATATACATATTTTACGCGTTTACGCGAAATGTCCATATTACAAATAATATAACCTATTAATTATTAATAATACGTTGATACGTGTTAATTTTGTAAGTAACTACTTCATTTACTGATAGTTAGCCTTTGATAGTGTCAAAAATCCTTAATTTACCCTCGGTTTCATCCAATACCCGAATTGTAATTTGAATAAGGGCAACAGCACACAACACGGTACAAAAGCACTTTGTTGCAGAACTTCGAACCGCGAAAAAACCGCGTCGATATGCCGGGCAATTCTTTTATTTAAAACTGCGATGCGGACAGTCGTGTAATTGTTTTTCGTTTGCAGTAATTGACTTGCGGTGGATATCCGTCGAATGTATTTTAAATTTAATCACCGTAGCCTGTGAGGAAATCCGGTCACATTGGAAAACTTTTATTTAAATTCAGTCGCAGTAAGTGACCATAAAAACGTTGTCAAATTACTTGTTTGTGCATATTTGTTCATCACATAAAGGATGGCGGCCTTTTTTCAAACAAAAATATAGATTTGACGGGCTCGATGGTCTAATGGTATCAATGTATTCCTGGGGGGGGGGGGGGGGGGCCCCCCCCGGGGGGGGGGGTTTTTTTAAAAAAGGGGGGTAAGGGGGGGGGGGGGGGGAGGAGAAAATCCTTTGGGGGGGGGGGGGAGGGGGGGGGGGGATCCCCGGGGGGGGGTTTTTGTGGGGGGTTCTCGAATTTCCAAAGCCAAAATAAGTCGACAGTTCACCTAGTTTTGATATTATGTGGGATATCTGTGTCATCGTGGGTTCGATCTTCCTTTTTTAAAAAAAAAAAAAAAAAAAACAAAAAAAAAAAAATTAAAAAGGGTTGTTGGGCCTAGTGTCTTGTTAAATGTCTGGAACAGAAGTTAATTGCTAATATGTTTGCTGTCTCTATTTCTGTATAACAGGTAAAGAAATTTTAAAATGTTAAGCAAGGTCATTCTAGTCGTGGAAGAAAGGACGCGATGTTTCTAGATAAAATTTGTGATAATTATAAAATTAAATCCATTTCTTTTTTGAATAACTTCCATAACATTACTACTCGTGTATATATCGCTAAGTTTGTATAAATAACTACTTTAAATTATATTGTAATATACCGCCATTAATTTTATAAGAGAGACATAATGTTACGACATATTTCGTAAAAGCCTACATGTTGATATATTGACACAATCTCTGAATCAATTTATCTTCGTCTCAAAGTGTCTCATTTGCAACGTCTCGTATGGTCTTTACTCTTTACATTCAATTTATAACATAAAATGAAGAACATTAAGAACAGCGCCATCTTGCCACCAAATGTGAAAAGCTAAAATTATTTTTCTCCGCCAGAATGTGTGAAAATGTATTATAGTCAGTGATAACATTTCATTCTTGTTACAAAGATAAATATGCTTTTAAATTATTTAATATGTCTTCAAGAGTTATGATGGCTTTTGCCAGCTGGGGTAGACTAGGAGATATTTTCTGCACTGTACTCATCTTTTTGTAGAATCTACCTATGTATGCAATATCATAATTTCATCTGATAAGCTATATGTCCCATTAAGAATAATCTGCTATCTAGTTAGGTATATTATAATAATTAAATGGAAGACAATATAGACTTATATAGTTACACAAAATAGTATAGAAAATAATATTTACAATACTAATTTTAATTTGTTGCATAGCTTAGAAATTTAGGATATTTCTACTATATTACTGGAAATCATAAAAAATAAATAATTTTGCTTGAAAAAAAACAAGAGTACTTGCAGCCATTCCGTACGATACGCTGCCTTAATTCAACGGCACAGTAACGGAAAAACTTCGGTTTTGGGTACGAATCCTGCCCCCATACTGCCTTTCTTTTTGAATGTATGTACGGGCTTATGTGCATTTATATATTATAATGACCTAACACCACCTAATGATTGTGCTCGAACAAAAAGTCGTCAAATATCTTCATAGCCGCCTCTTCTTGTATCTAGTACTTCGGTCGAATAAAACATTGTTTAGTGCATAGTAAAACTTGCAAAGATTTAAAATGACAAACACTGGATACGATATATATTTGTTTTTTAGTAAAATGGACGATATAAGTGTCAGCGTATATATTATATTTGTTGAATGGTCTAACTCGTCATAATGTACGGGTAAAATTAATATATTTATTTTGTTAATAACGCACTTTACCATCTATATATAGGATTAGGAAGGCTATTTTAACCAGTCTTTTTAATAAAATATTCAGTTACTATTCAAATGGATGGTGTAAATAGCTATTATCGTCCTTAAAATATGTCATTTTACATAATTCTTATGGTTTTTTGTTCTTAAGGTCACTATAAATAAAACACATATAATTGTTAAAACTTAAATACTATCTCAAGTGACCACGACTGCAGTAAATTGACCTTGAAAAAGTATTTCATTGAATTAAAAAACTTAACCATATACTACAAATTCAAAGGCGGAATTACCAAATGGGTAAAATAATTAGTACAGATCTGATCGACCAGTCCTCTATAAGTGGCCAAATGAAAAATAATAATACAAATTTGTACTAATAACATGTCGTATCCAGTAAAGTGGATCGGTGGAAGCAATAACGGTTAACCTTAATGATCACTGTGGTCCTGTAAATAGTCAATGTAGATATTATAGTCGTTAGCATTTACTTGCATAATGACTTTATTACAAGAGAGAGGCTGTTTAGTAACTACGTAGGAAATCCTACAATTGTATTCGAACTTACATATAACTTTTATATCTCTTTTAATACTCGTTAGAACTTTGACGTGTTTGCTATATACGTTTAAATGATACGTAACATGAGTGACATGGGTATAGATTAAAAAGACTTAATTATTAATAATCACAATAGTTAGTAATAGTGTTTTTGTTTTTTAATTTCAATTCATTTAATCTTACAGACTTTCTTTAAGATTAAACATTGACAACATATATTTGTAGTGTATCAACTGCCTTAATATGTTTACAATATTGCAAGAGTGATAATAGTAACATACACTTTATGGTCCTAAATGAAAGGTTACAAAATATTACTGTTAATAGCGGCGTTTTATAACACATTTGAATTCTTGCTAAGGATCTATTTTGTCTTCTATTTGTAGTAAGCAATCGCTAATATAATATTTTTAGGTAATACATAGTAGTTGTAACGCAAGTAAAGTAAAACAAACATAGTCATAGTTAAAATCATTTTAAATAATATATATCACGTTTTAAACCGTTAAACTGTTTAATTTAAATGTGTACTACTCGCGTAAACAGGCAATATTTAAATATACTCAACCAACCGTAGCAAACTATAGCAACCATAAAAGTTTGTTCAATATTCTTTACGTTTCTATCTTGTTGTATTGGTAGAGACAGTGTCTTTGTGCTTTATTGTTAGTAATATTGTATTAAAATTTGTGTTATTTTTATATCACATCTTTGATTGAAAATGTCATCAAAAACTTACAACGCGCTCATCTGTGAGGCATCAGAACTAATCGGTGAAGCGACTCAAGCCGATGAAGCCATATTTGAAGCTGGTGCTGCTGAGAAATCGACGTTCTACCCTTTACTGTCAGAACTACGAGTTAGATACACGGTATTGATCGTCAGATTAGACGAAGCGTATGACCAGATTGTGCAACCACAAAAGCGCCAGATAGTTAAAAGGTTGCTCGAAGCGTGCCTGGGGAGGCTTTTAGAAATCAAATATGATTTGGTGGAGCTGAATTTGTCGGATTATACGTACGACGATGATGAGGTATGGTGTTTGAATCGTTAATACTGTGAGGGCACTATTCAGAATTTATAAAACTTTGTTTTGCTAAATAGGTACAATGACATCTTTAATTGTGATAATTTTACATTTAGGTGTATTATAGAACTTATTCTATATTATGTTTTTTTTATTTGTATTATTTTCCAAGGCTCTGAAACGGCTCAGTGTCACACCACTAGAAGCAGAACCGTGTGTGCCCCAATATTTTATTAGAGAAAGAGAACAGGAAATAGAAGATCGGCGACAATTTATCAATGACGTTCTCAGGAAGCTTGGACATGAACCAGTGAGGCCACTACCGTTAGTACTGACAGAACAGCAAGCCGTGATAATAATTCAGAGTCATGAAAGAGCTAGACAAGGGAGGTTACGGTAAATGGACACTACCTTTTCCAGTTAAATTCTAATCAAATATTTATCAATAAATAATTAAAAGGGTTTTTCAGAGGACAATTTATGAAGGAAATTCGACTTTTAAAAGAAAAAGGTAGAGATCAAAAGGGGGAAATGTCAGCATCAGCGGCGACGGCGATTCAAAGAGTTTGGAGGGGATTTATTGCGAGAAGAGCTACTAAAAAGAGAAAGCTACAGGAACAACTCCTCATTGGTATGGTGATGCCTCCTTTTATGCATTCAAATGAAATTAAAAGGGCTGAAGAGGTAACATTTCGATTATTTACACTTGTTAAAAGCGTGACTTAACGTGTATTTATACATGTTTATTTGATTTAGGTGAAACAAAGTCGTCGCCAATCACAAAAGCAACGCGAAGAGCAATATCAGGAAGCTTTAGTAAAAATCGCGGAGGAACTTCAAGCTAAACACGGGTCAAAAATTAATGAACGCATTGGGGATGAACTAAGGCGATGGATATCAGAATATTATGAGCGAACAGGAAGACTACCTGATTTTCCATCCGAAGATGCTGGAGGCAGTAGAGCAATGTTCAGTAGGCAAGGTATAATTAGTGTAATTCAACAATATATTTGTTTAATCACTCTTTTGTATTGCTCTTTTGCATTTTAATTTAATTTTGCTTAAAGGAACTGGTATGGATAGCCAGCTAAGTAAATTGTCACCAATATCGTCAAAGGATTCCAAAAGAAGTAAAGATAGTAAGGAGAAAAAGAGTAATAAAAGTGAAGAAAATAAAATTAAGGATAAGGAAGACGTCGAAGACCCTTATACGTTCAAATGCACGACATCAGTTTTTCTGAAAGAAATCGTGAACACCAATGAAGAGTGAGTGTTGCCTTATGCCTACTCTAGTACATTTTACCTTTATACATTTTTAAAAGATTTAAACTTCAAAACTAATTTTTATTAAACATTTTAGATATGAGGATATATGGAAATACAGAGACGATGAAGATGATCATCACGAAAAATATGATGGCGAAATGATAGAACGAGAAAAAATGGCTAAAATAGAACAAGAAATAAGAAAGAGTATAGATGAAATGATGAGAACTGAATTAGACCTATTGCAGGCAGCGTTTGATAAGGATAGAGCTCACAAAGGAAAAAAGTCTAAGAAACCCCAGAAGAAGGTAAATATAAGATAAGGACTGTATATACCCGTCGAAAAACATAATTTTTAATAATATAATAAATAATGTTTTAAATATCTTTAAAATATAGGTACGACGGGGAGGCAAGAAGAACAAAAAGAAAAAGGAAAAAGATCTAACCCCCGATAGAACTACAGAATCACTTTTCGAAGAACTCGTTACCAATGGTATTATTAAGCCTTATCCAGTTGTAAGTATAGATGATTTCATAGGAGAAAAAAACTTCGTTGGCTGCGAATGGAGGAAGGAAGGTCGAGAGCCTTGTCCAACTTTAGGAGATATACGACAATTAGTGAAGGAATATTGTATTCTACCCCTTGGTTCTGAGTATGTCAGAACAAATGCTCCAGTAGTTAGATCAGTTCTTATTTCAGGTAAAAACCTGTACCTTATTACATATAATAGTATAATATTAAATATTTCTCTAATAGTAATACCAATTAAACAGGTCCATCAGGAAGCGGGAAGAAAATGCTTATCCAATCTATTTGTAGCGAGACTGGAGCAACGCTATTTGATTTAACCCCAGCAAATATAGTGGGAAAGTATCCTGGAAAATCAGGATTAATAATGCTTATACATTTAGTGATGAAAGTGTCAAGACTTTTACAACCTTCTGTTATCTGGATGGACGATGCGGAAAAACCATTTGTCAAAAAAATACCAAAAACAGATAAAACGGACCCGAAGAGATTGAAAAAAGATCTAGTTAAAATAATAAAAGGTGATTTCCAAAATAATTAAAAAACAATTTATTTTTTAATGAATAATGTGAAAATCCAATTTGCTCTTAGGGATTTATCCAGAAGATAGAGTGCTATTCGTCGGCACAACCAGAACTCCCTGGGAAGCAGAACAGAAACTATTGTTCCAGTGTTATTCAAAAGTCATTCAAATTCCACACGCTGATTATGGAAGTATTTCGTTGATGTGGCGAACTAAGTTACATAGAGCTGGTGCCCTGTCGCCACGATTAGATGTATCGTGCTTAGCCAGAGTCTCTGATTCATATACCATCGGTAAGAAAAATATATAGTAAGAATAATATAATAGTCAGTTCAGGTAATTCTTAATTCAAATCGTTACAGAAAACTTACCCTTTTAATATTAACTAACCTTCGTATTTTATATTCTGAAGGTACTCTTCTATCTGCTCTTGACTCAGTGCTCACTACAAAACGAAGACTCCAATTACGCGTGAGAGCGCTAACGGCCCAAGAAGTTGCTGTTCAGTTAAGTGCTCGTGAACCAGTTTATGCTGAGCATGTAAGTTAAATAAAGGAATCAATAAATAAATAAAATACTTCCCAAGGTAAATACACCATACGATAAAGTCAAAGTCAGAAATCATTTATTCACGTAGGTAACTATGTTCACTTATGAACGTCACAAAATGTGAAGAATTTAACTTTACATTTATTACTAGTTCTCAAATCAATTGCGTAGAACGAACAAGAAGAACTGGCAATAAACTCGCCGTCACTCTTTTTATCGAAGATATATAGAATAGAACAAATATCAGACAAGCAATAAAATTAAAATATGATCTATGTGTAGGAAAGTGCAGCTGAAGCATGGTGGTTGAAGACTCCAATGGAGAGGAGACGATTGAGAATGCTACAAAAGTTACAAGAGCTGGAACAAGAGAATGAGGAAAAGGCTGCGGCTGCTGTGAAATAGATTTATCTCAAACGAAATATATACTTTCTATATACAGAAGTATCAAATTAACGAAATACACATTTTTATTGTGGCTATGACAAAGAGTGATAAGAAATCCATCTTTTACGCATAGAAAGAAACGGCATTAACTAACGTGTTTATTTTAATATATTTGTGTTTATAGAACTCGTTTGAATAAAAATATTAAATAGGTGTCTTTGCTGTCAGAGTTCGAAGGGTCTCACTCCGTCATGACTCATGTAAATGAGAGACGCCTTATAAATATTTTTCTCAATTTCATTGGAAAATAAAGAAATCTGTATTCTTACAATGCATTCAAGTTGTTTACAAACCACCAGAAATATCTTAAACGTTATTTCGTAGTAAATTATATCAGGAACAGTTGTACCTCCATAAAAAATATTTTAAAATAATTGTTTTTTATTGACATTATATTTTTTTTTTGTAAAATATTCGTGTGTTTGTTTTTGTATTTTTGTGTGAAATAAAGGACTAGAATTTGTAAGCTAAGGAAGTAACAAATCTTTTTCCATTAAAAACGGTAATTTCCCATCTCTAGAAAGTTTTCGCGCAATTCTATTCGTGAACACCTATCGGGTGGCCGTACAAAAACGGCGTCTCATGAAACTTGCATTACTATCCGGGAAAATCCTTGAAGCAAAAAGGTTCCCGTCGAAGTTAAGTCCACACCTGGTAATGTTCTCACGAAATCTTTGTGGCTACAGGAAATAAGGATTTTGGTTCGTATCGTGATTAGAATTTTTGAGTGTGTCGTAATCAGATTATGTACCTTTCTAGATTTGCATAGATAAATTTGGTATTTATCTATGCAAATCTGTACATAATATAAATATTGCCTACGTACGTATATTGAGTTTAAGTAAAAAGTTTAGAGGAATGTACAGTGTAAAAACCCTACTACGACATATGGGGATAGCATATTTCGATTTTATTACTCACTCTTCTTTACTTACAGTTAGATATTTACTTTCATGCCCTATCTGCTTCAAAACATTAACAATTTCCTAGGCACCGAGGAACTATCCCACTCTACGCAATGCTAGACAATGCGTCTTACCACAGCCACCGATTGTAGAAACATTTTAAACTCCATATATTTTTTGCATCAAAATATTTAACAAAGAAAATATTACTTATTCTCCCGACCTCGAATTGATTAGTCCCAGTTGTGATGTCTGCTTTCTTTACATTCGTCGTTCTTTAGAACGAAAATCTTAATTCATCAAACATGGCTCCAAGAATTTTTCCTATAAAAACGTAAAACTTCTGATAAAACACGCCGTTTTTCGCTCGAACATTGCACAAAGGCTTCAAAGGAAACGTTAACAACCTGTAACAAGCGAAGAATCTCAGTTTGTTAGTTGTTAGCACTCTTTGTGTTTAAGCACTTATTTCCGCATAGCCTTATAAGGTCTTTAGGGAAATTTGTGTTCCTCTCCTCTTTATATCCAAATTATTTCTGGCATAGCCGTTAGTTAAAACATATTATATTAATTGGATATAAGTTAACGTACTACCGAGCGTGGCAATATTAAGTATTTCAACCAAATCTAAAATGACAGATATAAACTTTCAAGAACATTTTTTTAGTTAATTTAAAGAAAAATTATTAAACCCTTTACGCAGGGCACGGTACGGAGGCCTTCAAAAATGAATAACTGTACCCTTTTTTCCACATTTCCCGCTGCTTCGTCGCTCCTGTTACTCACATTATAAATTGATTAAAAACCTGTTGGACCCGATGGGGATTAAACCCGTTAATTATTAACTAAACATTACTACAATTACATCAACGAGCTGATCAACTTCTCTTCGCTTGGTTGAGTTCTCTCGTAGAATATTAGTCAATGACTGTGTTCAATGGGATAACCTCAAAGGACATAATAATAGTTACACGTGCAACTAAAACATTAATTTGCGTATCGCAAAATTTGCATTTTCAGCCGGTTATTAATTATTCAGATTCGGTTAGAAATGTAAGCAAATCAAACAGTGGCCGGGGGGTCTCGCATCTAAAATTCATGTGTAGCTTGAACGGGAAACGCCGGCCAATTCGCCAATACGAATATACTGTTCGGGAGAATTCGCAGTACGGACATTGTATTGCATATTAATTTGTCAACGCGCCCAACGTTATTGTCTCTAGTTTATGCGAGTATTACACATTTGAATAAAACACATTTAACAGCTTAAAACGCGAAATGTATGTCGTTTTTGCTGCTGATTATAACGCTATTTTTGCGTCCTAGTGTATTTTCCGTTCAATTTCTCTTTAATAGTAGTATACCGGTTAAAGATAATCAATTCTGCTAGGACCCATACAGTTTCGTCAAATACCTAATTCGACCGAACAAAGCAAATTTTTACTTGGACATAAGAGACACCCTCCATCCGTCCATGGGATGCTTCTTGCAGTAGTTTAAATAAATTGTGAATATGTTTTACTAATACATTTCGCGATTTGAACAGTTAAGTGTTTTAATAAAATCATTAAACAAGATTAAACAGCAATTAATCAAACAGCATTAAGCCAGGTGGATAGACGACGAAACACGACAGCTGGAAAATGCTAAACGTGATCTGAGTCTAGAAAGAAGAAATCATAATATATATTTATATGTTGATAATATATCTCAGATTTAACTTGAAATTCTAAATTGCTTTTATGTTTTATAAACAATAGTTTTCAACATATTTAGTAATTTGTATTAAAGTATCGGCTTTCGCGGGCATTCAAGGTTTATTTTATTACTAGCTGTGCCAGCGACTTCCTCCGCGAGAATCGTTATTTAGGGCTTCCAAATTAGTTTTTGCAAAACCCTGCATCTTTATAAACTTAAACTGACGACGTCTGTCAAGTCCCTTCCCGTCGTTCTTGCAAGTTAACGTTAAAGATAGACATATAGCGTCGCGGACTTTTTTTAGATAATTTAAAGAGAAATTATTCTTTCTAATACATTTTTTAGGTATCTTGAACCGTTTTCGCAGCGTACGCATCTGAAACCCACAGAGATGAAGAATTTCCCCCGTTTTGTTCACATTTCCCGCTGTATCTTCGCTTCTATAAGTTAGAGCGCGTTGCCTATTTTATAGCCTTCCTCGATAAATGCACACCACACCAACACAATTTTTTTTTTCATATCGAACCCGTAGTTCCTGAGATTAGCGCGTTCAAATAAACAAACTCTTCAGCTTTATATATTAGTATAGAAGTATAGATTCACAACATTTCATTGTAATTTCACAAGACCAGACTCTTAGTGGCGCTACGGCGAGAACGTAAGCTGTAATTATTATAGTAATTACAGATTTACTTACTTAAAATTTCGTAATATAATGCTCGAGTAACAAATGCTGTCACATAAACGAAACTTTCAGACGAAACGTTTAGGCCATGTCTACCGTTCATATAAACAGGGCAGGTTAAACTGTGGCCGCATGGAATATTCATTTGGCAAACAGTGGCTTCAGTGATTTTGCCATGAGGGCCTTCAGGGCAAGACATAAATAAGCGAACTCGGATAAGTGATTAGAAAGTTTGAGAGACTTTTCAATTGATTATTTTAAATGCACTGATAGCTAAATCTTTATGTGAATATATTTTTCAACCTCAACTATATACAAAAAGAGCTAAGTCAGCGACTTCGTTCGCGTAGAAAAGTTGTTTTGGTTGATGATCTTTTTTTTCGTCTTTATAAATTATACGTACTTTGACTAATAGAAGCGGAAAAATTGGTAAAAATATTCATCATTTTATGTTTCCTAGGCATACGCTGCAAAAACGGTTTATGATACTCAAAAAATATGTATGAAATAATGATTTCTCATTAAATTATCTAAAAAAGTACACAACGCTATAAGTCTATCTTTCGAGATTAACTTGCGAGGACGACGGGAAGGGACGCGACCCACGTTGTGGGTTACAGCTTAAGTTTATAAAGATGAAGGGGTTTGCAAAAACGGTTTTGGATGCCCAAAATAACGATTTTTGCTGACAAAGTCGCTGACTCAGCTAGTTAAATAAACGGACAACGTCACTTAAGTTATATATAAGTATTATTGTAAACTATTTCTTCATTCTTCATATTTGAAAATACTACCAGTGTATCACCTTCAGAGTTGCACAGTCGTAAAATGGGGAATGTACTCGCTTTCATTTTGCAGAAAACCCACAACTCGAGCTTACGTCTCATAATCTCCTTGTAATGGACAAGCGTATTTCTCTCCTGATCCCCTGTCATAAGCCAGCTGGTCTTTGGACTCATTTTACGATATCCCACTTGTTGTTGGCTCGTGTCTGCAAAATATTTTCGGTAATGTGATCCCGGCCTTATATTCCTTTTATTATTTACCTTGAAAAATTACATTTATTTTGTAAATAAATAATTCTTAATACTGCCATTTAAATAAAGCACTTGAACGGTTTAAAACGCGCAATGAGTTAAACATTACGAATTATTTTAACTACGGCCTTAACTTTTTTGTTTTGCAGCAGCCGTGGCCACAAATAAACTTAAGCCGTAGTTAAAATAATTTGTAAAGTTTGTACCTTTTGCGTATTAAACCGTTAAAAGTGTGTCATTTAAATAAATTGATCTTTTAATTTTGTGCTCTAGTATCTAATTTGAAGTAGCATGTGAAGGCAAGTTATTTGTTATGAATTTGACTATTGAACTAAGTAATATACTATTTAGTTTAAAACACTCTGTAAAACTTTGGGTTTGGTAATTAGAATTTTTATATAGAAATAGGTCTGTGAGTATACAATGAAATGTAATTTATTTTTGAAGATACTCGAAAATATAAGCGACAAAATAAATATAATAAGTAGCGATAAAAATATACTATCTACTATTATAATATTATTAAAATTGTATGCAGTATATGCTGCTATATAGGATGGGTATGAAACAATACACGGAGGACAGGTGCTCGGCTGGGGTGTCCCGACGTTTCGACTTATCTCGGATTAGAGCGGGGCTGGATCTTCCACCAATCGAGTTGCGTCTAACATCTTGCGAGGTGGTCCAAGTTAAAATGCACCTCGACTAAATACAGTTTTAAAAGCATAATATATAATTATATACTTACATCGTAATAAACTGAAATAACAAAACATACGCATTGCAAATTAGCCAGCGAACTAGAAAGCACCGTAAGCCAGTTCTGTGAGGACCCAGTTAGTTTCTTCAAATTCCAACGCGAATCATAGAGGGCGCGTAGCAGATTTCGCTTTGACATTAGGGACACCCTCCATATTTAATCCCTCCGTAAACGCGACTAATGCAAAACGACCGAAGCGTTGGTCCATACAAGAAATAGATTATAAATTAGTTAACTCATATATATAACGTTTAAAACCGTCAAAGTGTATTATTTAAAAAAATAGAACACATCACAAGTACTATTTTTTATTAATAATTATGTGCAATGAATACATACAATTTGGATGTAAATAACTTACTACATTCAATTTTAAACATATTAGAAGCGATTTCCTTACGTCGCGTCGCTTGTATATTGGACCACATCAAAGTTCAATATATTACGTTGATACGTTTATGTTGGTGTTATAGCCACGATGAGAGTTATCGGGAAATGTCTAACAGCTCACAGACGACAGCTCTTCTCGAGAGCATAGCTGACTTTGCAAGCTTCATAGCGACGAAAAGGTTTTAAAAATTTAAACGTTCAATAAAAAGTTTAAAAGTTTTTGTGTATAATGACACATATTAATGTTGAAATAAGAAAATGTGTATATCGTATATCGTGCATATTTGTTTATGTCGGAAGAAACTATTAACTAACTATTGTTTCCTGTTTTCATAAATAAAGAAGAAATCCAATATTTAATATTCTTTATAAATAAATATTATTGTCATGCTTTGTGCTATTCTATTTCTTCATATTTATTTATTGAACACCACTATCATTCAGACTGATTACTTAGGTACATATTTCTTAGGTGGTTAGTAGGTTTAATTTGATAGATTTAGATGATCTTGGTTTAAGTAGAGGACTGTATACTAAATGTATCACTTACTATACTTTGTATTTAAAATATAACTAGCTGTGTCAGCGGCTTCGTCCGAAAAGAATGGTTATTTTGGGCGTCAAAATTTGTTTTAGCAAACCTTTTCATCTTTATAGATTTAAGCTATTGCCCACGACGTCGCTCGCGTCTCGTTATTATTGCAAGTTAATCTGAAAAGATAGACATATACACTCTTATTACAAAACAAGGACTAACTCTCAAACCTGCTTTAAACCCTGCTTTACTTGAAATCCTTATTTTAAAACGAAGTTTAACGTTTGTACTGGACTAACTATGGTACTAACTTAGATTTATTTAGACCATGGTATAAGAGTTGAACCAAGACTCCGTAGTTATTCACAGAAAAAATATTCTTCAATTCAGCACACGCAAAGGAAACCCTTAAAGATTTATAATTTCTCCCGGTTCTTCGACATTTCCCACTGAATCTTCGCTCCTATTGGTCCTATCGTTTATTTATAGCCTAAAGTCTTCCTCGATATATCCTCTAGCCAACACATAAATAATTTTTCAATTCTAACTAGTAGTTCCTGAACAAGCAGGTGTAAACAAACAAACAAACTCTTCAGCTTTTTATATTAGTATAGAAAAGATACAAACGATTAAATAAAACACTTATTTACAAATAATTTCACTGAAAAATTTAATGTTTTAAAACCTTCTAAGTGTTGTATTAAAATGCACACTACACGTGTAAACAAAAATAAAACGCGTTAATGAATGTCGCATTTCTAGAGTAAATTAGTGTCGATAAATACAAAAGCAACCGTCTTGAGTCGGCCACCTTAATTTGATTAGGTCAGTGAAGACAATGGTCCATTTGTGATACCAATCTGTTGAAAGCAGTAAAGTCCAAAAGATAACCCCTCTATAGTCGTAAACAACTCATTAATAATTGGTCTTAACCCTTGTTATGTATTATTCATATCGTCAGTAATCCGAACTAGCCTAATGAAAGGGGACAATACCGCATAAAACAAATTCGGCTGCCTTTACATAGAATTGTAATACGCAATACGTTAATTGTTATATGTGTAATATTTGTAGTGAATGTATAGACACTTTCAATGCGAAACGGCTAGACTGATTTCGATACGTTTAACTGTATTAAAAAAAAAACAAGGACCAAGAATGTGGTAAATTTGAAGGGTCCAAGCTAACAAGAAACAACGCTTCGAAACTTCAACCCGCCTTATGATACTTTTTTTTTAATAATAGAGGAGGCCAGACATGCAGGGGAATCACTTAATGGAAGGTGAAATAAACAAGATGTGCTATCGACCCATTTTGGCATTGCATATTCGGAAATCCACAGACTGAAACCCAGACGTGATTAAACTCCACAGCTTTTCCATTTATGGACGGTGGTTCATGACCCGGCGCTATTTCTATATTCCTACCACCCATTTAATATCCAGCTTTCCAGACGAAGTCCAACCTGTTTCGAGAAAATTATATAATTTTTGCCAATAACATTGATTGGTATGATTTGTATATTTAAATAAAACACTTTAACGGTTTAAAACGCGATATATTAGTTAAACTTATTTGAAAATGATTTTTAACTTCGGCCGAACGTTTCGGATGCTTTGCAGCAGCCGTGGTCACGGGGAGACTCTGGCAGCTGCTGCAAAGCATCTGAAACGTCGGGCCGAAGTTAAAAATCATTTTCAAATAAGTTTAACTAATATATCGCGTTTTAAACCGTTAAAGTATAGACTATTGACAGTATGATTTGTATAGTTGCACCTGTACCTTGGTGTCACCAACAGACGCTGCACCCTCATCTCAAGATCCAATTAAAGAAATGTTTCAAACATATTCGAAAGGCAAAAAAATTCCATCGTCGATTGACTAGAAGGACATGGACAAAGAACCGAGCACTCTTAAAAGATTAAAACACGCACAACATTTAGCACAGTAACAAATATAATATGGATGTGTTATTGGACGAAAACCAGGCCATGTCGTAGGAATAAAGAAGACACAATAATAATAATTACGTGACAGTGTACCTACTGGCGTAGTGAGTGACCAGGTTTATTAAGGCGGGTGGCGTTACATTTAATGTCTTGTTCGCAAATTCACAATATAGTTTAAACTTGGGAATATTGTTTGGAGTTTAGATCCGTTTACATCCTTGCCTGTAATATTCTTGAGGCTGCGAGGTTTATTTAATAACTGAAATGAATACTTCGCTGTGTTATGGTTTGTATGTAAATTTTAACTCAAACGAGATATCGATAGCCATTTATTTAAATATACAATACATACAAAAGCATATCATTTAATGAATAGTAAACACAGTGATTACCCTAACCTTATTTTTAAGTTAATTCATGAGATTCTTATTGGTAGATGTACATTTTTTATAGGCAGCAACACATTTAATATTACACGCGCACTAAAAATGTATAAACCTTAAATCTATTACCGTTCTTGTCATCTTCTGACGCCATCATTATTTTTCCGTCCGACGTTGCAAAATTGACTCTGAAAGCAAATCAAAACATAAAGTTACTTTTAAATACAATACTTTAACTGTTTAAAACGCGATGTATTAGTTAAACTTATTTGAAAATTATTTTTAACTTCGGCCCGACGTTTTGGATGCTTTGCAGCAGCCATGGTCACGTGGAGACGTGGAACGTCGTGTTTTATTTAAATGTGTACTACTCGCGTAAACTATAGACAGTATATAAAATTACTTATTCATGTAGGCTGCTAGGTATAAACGATAATGCTACCTACTACTAGTTCCCAAATCAGGATCCTAAAACAAACGAGAACTGGCAACAAACTCGCCGGCAAGAGTTTTGTAAAGTTACAGTTTATAAAAATATTAATAGCAATAATTTCAACATAGAGGTAGTCTTTAAGTTTAAAGAATTTATTACAAGAAGAATATACAAGTCATGGTACACGTAGAAACATACTATAAATATGATAACATTATTTTAAATAGTATTAAAATTGTTCTGTAATACTTTCTTTTTAAATAATAACTTCTTATATGATAACATACTGCTTCGTAACGAAACACGTTACGGCTTGACTTTTCATAAATAGATAGTTCAACTTATATCGGATGTTTCAAGACGCACCACTATGCTGTGCCATTATTGTTAGCTACTATACTATCATTATTATTAAAAAAAGTTTTCCTTTACTTATTTCCAAAGGATGTGTTCGAGAAATCAACAGCTGTACAGGATATAACTCGCCGCAGTGCACGCGATAGATATAACACTGCCTTTCCTAGACCTGGAGGCAGGGAAATGAGGTCTTCTAGGCAAGATTCAGGCGTGTCTATATTGCGAAGCTCGGATACAGACATTTTCTGTAAGAAGGTAATAAATAGACAGGTTTCATACAATATGTAAGAGTCAGTCCGACTTAGTCACTAATATTTTGTTAATTACATTTTTGAAAAGTTATAGCTGGGGTATATTACCTTCCATCAAGTGCATGCCAAGTACTTGTCTATCTACCTCCATCATAAAAAACTAAAGCAAATATTTTTTTTAGATTGAGATACACATCTATTAACAAAGTACCTACGTCAGGGACTGTGACCCACGATGTCGGTCGCGTCCCGTAGTTTTTCTTTGATAGACATATAGTGTCGCGGTTGTTAGATCATTTAAAGAGAAATTTTATTTATTTATTTATTTATTACATTATAAAAATATTCTAACATTACAGAACAATGTCCATTGCGATAAAATTATTTAATACATATTTCATGGAGTGATGTTTTTGTCAATTCACCCAAGCTACACGTAAAAATGTCGATCCCCTCCTGCAGCTTGTTGATAACACGCAAAGCACGAACAAGAGGGGATTTCATCAGTAAGTTGGTGCGTGAGTACGGTAGCGCAAGTAACGGTGGTCGTAGTCGCCTCCACACGTATCGGTCCGGAACAGACAAGTGTAAGGACTGTAGAACTCCTGGGTTCAACTCTCGACCCCGCAATACTTTTACTAGATATATCACAAGGAATAAGTCCCTCCGTACCTTCAATTCATTGTATCCGACCATGCCTAATACAAAAAGAGTCGGATACATTAAAGGATAATATGGATATACTCCATCCATTCTTTGGTACAAAAAAAAAAAATGATTCATTCATACATATTTTTTGGACATCTTAAACCACTGTCGTAGCGTAAGCATCGGAAACCCACAAAGATGAATAATTTTCTTAAATTTTTCCACATTCCCCGCTTCCTATTAGTCACAGGGATTTTATAGCCTTCATCAATAAACGCTCTTTTTTTTTGGAAAAAATTTTCCAATTCGAACCAGTTCCAGAGATTATCCCGTTCAAACAAACATACATACTCTTCAGCTTTGTATAGAAAATAACTTTTCAAGTAACTTACCAGGGCATCGGTTCCAAAAGTAATTAATGGTATAAAAAGTAATACTAACATATTTGCCATGATTAATGATGCGATAGCAATTAAAACGATTTACTTGAACTTGTAAAGCTAGGTTATGATAACATACAACGTTTATATACTTTATCGCCACTTATTGCAATAATACATTAGAATACAATAGCGTTGCCATGAGAAGATGGAATAAATAGAGCTATATTTTTATTTATATATGAAAATATTAGAAAACAAGGCATGGAAAATGTTAGTAACACCAGTATTGATTTTTTATAAGTTCATAATAATAATAATGATGCAGAAACATACAATACAAAATCATTTATGATATTTTTAGATACTATATTTAAAATTGTTTAGGGCTAGAAATTTTTCGTTTATTTTATCTCCATCTGTTTCTCCTTCCGTCAATAAAGTTTCTACACGTAATGGAACGTTATCAATAGAAATTTTGATTAATCCACGTAGGTAATTACCGATCGGTCTCTCACTATTTGTTATCATTATTTATCTAAAGTCAATCCGTTAACTACATACGTTATCATTTTATCATTACTTTTGTAATAATGTCAACATGTGGCCGCTAATTTTATTTTGTGTACTCGCTGTGTCAGCCGATGAAGAGGATTTTAGGATAATTAAATTGGATTCGGGTCTTGTCAGAGGAAATAAGTATTGGAATGGGGATTATTATGAATTTTACGGTATTCCGTATGCTACGGCGCCTTCAGGGAGAGACCGATTCAAGGTAAGGCCTGTGTCTACAAAAGTTTTACTTTCATTTAGTATTTTTATATTAGATTGAAAAACGTATGGACGACCCCGCCATGGAAACCCACGCCACCAAGTTCAGCTGTAGACCATGGAGCGCTATGGGTTTCATTTCCACTTTATCTTCCAAATTTTGTCAATCTGAAATAAATACTTGAATATTAAATAATAAGTACAAAATAATATCACAATTGCTTAAACATTGAAAGTTATTATAAAAAACTAAACCTTTTACAGGCTCCCCTGCCGGTTAAGCCTTGGGATGATCTCCTAAGTGCGACTGACAGTAATAAACGTTGTCGACAATGCTATTATACTCCAGAGTCAGATGACGATGTCATTCTTGACGGTGACGATGACTGTCTTGTAATGAATGTTCTAGTCCCAAAAGTAACTGATGAAAGTAAGAAAGCCCCCGTAGTAGTCTACATCCACAGCGGAGCATTTTCAGGAGGCAGTGGAATGATGGCCAGGTATGGCTACCTAGCCAGACATGATGTAGTCGTTGTAAGTTTTAACTATCGTATAGGAGCCCTTGGTTTTGCTTGTCTCGGAAATGAAGAGATACCCGGCAATGCGGGTTTAAAAGATCAAGTTGAAGCATTGCGTTGGATAAAAAGAAATATCGCAGCGTTTGGGGGAGATCCCGACAAAATTACTCTAGCTGGATTCAGTGTTGGAGCAGCTATGGCAGAACTCCTTTCTCTATCGAAGGCTACAGTGGGATTATTTAATCAACTGATCTTAGAAAGTGGTTCTGCACTTTCCCCGTTTACTATTAACCGCGATCCTGTGTCAACGGCCTGGAATATTGCACAAGCTATTGGATATAATGGAACTGAAAATATAGAAGATCTAACAGAATTCTACCTTAATGCGGAAATTAAAGATTTATCGCTAAAAAGCATAAATTATTTTTTACCAAATAGTACTTTTGGTTTTGCACCTTGCATTGAAAGACCACAACAAGGACATGAAGTAATTGTAAGTGAATCACCACTCGATACACTTAAGAGAGGAGATTATGATAAGATTCCAGTTATGACAGGTTTTTCCAATATGGAAGGAATCAGTCGATCAATCAAATTTGGCCCATGGAGAGAAGAGATGAATGACAACTTTGCAAATTTTCTTCCTGTTGATTTACGTTTTAAAACCGAAGAGGAAAAAAATGAAGTCATATCAAAAATTAAGAAGCGTTACTTTAAAGACAAGATTATAAATCATGAAAGTTTACAGCATTATATAGATTACTTTTCAGATATAATGTTTAAATATTCAATAATGAAGTCAGCTAAATTACATTCGTCATCGTCTGATGATCCTGTGTATTTGTATGAGTTTTCTTATGTTGGCAAACTCAATATCCAACATAACTACATGGACAAAATAAAAGGTGCAAGCCATAGAGATCAAACTGCATATATTTTAGACTTTCTTGGTTTCACAAATAATTATAAAGATCTTACTACGAGAGATAGAATGACGACTATGTGGTCTGACTTCGTGCAATACGGGTAAAAGGATTTTTTGTAATATATTTACTAAATTTTGTAATTATATTTGTAAGCGAAAGAATAAATGTTAATTTTTTTTATTTCTTTCAGAAATCCAACTGAATATGAAAGTGCTCTACTTGCAGTGAAATGGATTCCTTATTCTGATAAAGCGAAAAATTATTTGGAAATCAATAAAAATCTACAAATGAAACAAGGCATTTTTGATGAAGAATTTAACTTTTGGGATGAAATTTATGCTAAATTTTATTGGAGTCCTACACCAGTAAACCCGGAAATAACCCTACCAAAAAGCGCTCCGAAGAAAAGTGATAACTTAGATAAGAATCAAACACCATTCAAAGAAGGCACAGAAAATAAAAATAATTTTGCCAAGGAACCTCAAGAAAAATTCGTAAAGAACGATGAAAAACTAAATGACAATAAGGAAGCAACAAATAAACCCGTCGGTAATAAATCATCTATGGTTAAGACAACGACAAAAACTAGAATAGACCAAGATGGCAACTTGATTAAAGAAGTAATAAAAGAACATAACCCAAAGGCTAAAGCTAATACAAACACTCCACCTACAGTAAAGATAACAACAGAAACTAAAAAACGTAAAGACGGTAAGTTGGTAAAAGAAGTAAGAAAAGAGTACATCCAAAATTCCGACGAAAACAACTCTGAAAAAAAAGAAAATAAAGTCAGTAATGGTCAAACAAGTGAATCTAAAAGCTCCTCGAATGTAGAGCCAGATATGTCGAAGACGGTACCTACAAAAAAGGTAGAAGTAAAAGAGGCGCGAAAGAAGCCTGCACAGAATCCTAAAGGAAAAACCGATAGCAAAAGTAATCAAGAGGAAACACAAAAGAAAAAAGAAAGACATCTCTGTCAAAATCCTTCGTTATAAACAACTTAAATATTTCTTGCAATACTCGAGCTAATTTTCCTGCATATTTGAAATTGATACCTTAAATAGCTTAATGAAAGTTGGTAATACGCCACTTAATTACCTCTCCCTACCGCAGCTGTGGGCTATGCGAGGCACGACATTCACTCGTGTCATCGAAACATTTCCTGGCATCCGATATTGACGTTACGAATACAGGGTGGGGAATTATTTTAAGAGTATTCAGTACAATAAAACTATTAACACTGTTCTGATTTTTATTCGGAGTTTAACGTATTCATTATTTTTGATGCACTTAAAAACTAATGCAAAACAAAAACATAAATAAATGATAAAATCTTGTTTAACGAACAACACAATCGCATTTCCATTAACTATATCACTGTGTATTTTTTAACAAAAGTCAATAATATCTTAAATTATTGCCTAAAAAAAACTTTTCAATAAACAAATTTTAATAACAGGCTATAAGAATTTGAAGTCTTTATAGAATTGAAGTAATTCTCGACTACTAATTTTAATATTCAAAATAGAGGTCCTGTATAAACAGTTCAAGTATTCAGGAAACACCGACGTTAAGCAATCCGAACAGAGATTCTCGTGCCAGGAATATTCTGACTCTATAGCCTATAATTCCGTTAAAGTCTATATTTTATGAAAAATGTTTAACAGTGTGAACAGTAAGCAAACTTTGTCTTTGAGATTACCTTTTGAGGCATGTTAAAGTCAACCTAAAAGTCGTCTTGTCTAATGTCAATGATATTGAAAGTTAAAATATATTTAGGTAACTACGATGAAGAAGGAAGTAGCCTATAAAAATTGGCCTAACAGAACGGTCGTTCTAAACTACCTAAAAACGCAACTAAATCAAATGTGTCGCGAAATTATACAGACTTAAATTGCCAAATGCGGTTCACAGCTATGTTTCTCTATTTTACAATAGCAAGCGATTGGTGTAAAATTAAATAAACTCACAAAGGGATGATGTGAGGGGTGCTAAATAGCACTCGAAAACCTTTCAATTTCGAACTTGTCATGTACAATAGGACCTGTGTGATTGCTTCTTTGTACCTAGGGATCGGGGAGAATTTTAATAAGTTTGAATGTTTACACTTATATTTTGAGTTTTATGAGTTTACTGAAAGTACTGAAACAAATATATCTATATACGTTTCCTCCTTGTTTGAAGTCGGTTAGTATATTGCTTAGCCTACGTGATCGTGGTTTGTCAAATGTGACATCAAATATTTTTTGTGAGTAGAACACTATTAAAATTGAATTGAAAAAGTGGAAATAAATAAAATGAAAGCGCTGTTAAGTTAAAGAGGAAATAATAAAACAATAAGCCGGTTTTATGAAAAGCTTGTATCTCAACCGACTGAACTTTTTGAAGTTTTCAAGAGCAGCCGAGCGATGTGGTAATTCGAATTATTATGCGGTGCATGAATTAAACAATATTTTAAGTAGACGGAAGTTATTTGAGTACTTTAGCGTTTAAACTGCAACTTCGCTGTTTTTCACTTACTTGTTAATATACTTTTGGATTTTATTAACTCTATGTAAATAAAGCGGTACCTATTACTGAAGCACGAAATAAATTTTTAATCTCGACCTAAAAATCGTAATAATACTATACACGTTCATATGTCTATCCACCAAAAATTGTTCTTTCTGATTTTCGTATTTCACACTAACCACTGTTTAAAATTTGTAATGGCGTTAATATTGATTACCACCCCATCCACGTCTAAATCTCCAATCCCTTATTGCTTTCGAGGAAATTAATTTCTTGCTATCAGAAGCGATCGGCTAGACTGTGGTGACGCCGGAAAACCGCATAGGCGATACGTTTTCCGAAATTTCATTCGTATTGTAAACTACGGTAATATGTTTATTCACAAACTAGATATGTCAACGACTTCGTCCGCGTTAGTTAAAATTCGTTTTTGCGAACCTCGCCATCTTTATAAAATAGAGCAGTTTCATCTTAAATGATAGACAAATAGTATCGCGGATATTTTTTGGTAATTTAAAGAGTAACCCTTCTTTAATATATTTTATGGGTATTTTGAACCGATTTCGCAGCGGAATCGCATCAGAAGCCCATAGAGTGAATAACTTTTCCCATATTTCCCGCTTTTTCTTCGCTCCTATAAGTCACGGAGCGATGTTTTATGCTCATAATCTTCCTCGATAAATGCTCTAGCCAACACAGAAAGATTTTTCAATTCGAACTAGTAGTTACCGAGATTAGCGCGTTCAAACAAAGCAACTCTCCAACTTTATATATTAGTATAGATAACTTCCACGTACTAAGAGAATTTTGTTCGATGAACAAATTCTGAAGCCATGTCAGCAAATATGTAATCAATTTAAATATTAAACTGTTCATCCTATTCCTATAATTGAAAAGGACGTTAAAAACTGGGAAAAGCAGACAGACAGGAAAAGAACAAGCGAACCGCAAAAAGCTAGAAATATGGGTAATGCAAACAAGTGTGATTTTTAATTGGAAACCGATGGTCGTCGCGTCGCGTCGTCTATTGCATACATTTAAGCTCTGTCCATTTTCACGAATAAAAGAATCACGGTTATTGTCGTTTCAATCTGCTTGTGGAGTGGATGAGATTGAAAAATCAGAAAACGAGAACATTTTTCTCGTTTTTATAGGTAGAGCAGTTTTATTGGTCGATGACAAATTTAATTAAAACAAACCTAATTTGTTAACAATTTAAAATTAAGTAGTTTACTTTCTAGTAATATCAGTTTTGAAGCGCGGTACTATTTACTGGTTTAACTGTGACCCGTTCATCTATTTAGTGTCAACTGATTATCGGCACTAGATTTTTAGATTTCAACTTTAAATCTATATCACGAAAAATCTATTTCAGTATTAAATGTTGTTTTTAGCTTATAAAAATTTCTTATATATATATTTTTTAGGTATTATAGTATATAATGGTTATAAATTGTTAATGTCCTATATTATTTTATTTTAAATTAGCTCCTTATTTAGTGCGTATTTTCATTTCAATAAATCTGTAACACCTTCTGATTTTATGTTGGATATTAAATCTTGACTCTGATATTAAAATAAAACGACTCAATCATCCCTTTCAAGCCTTTTAATCATGATTAAAGTACTCATTCTTCCTCTATTTTACTCGGAATTCGTAAAGTTTATGAACGTTTTGAAACCCTCGTAAAACAGTAAACACCTAACAGAAGAATGAAGGGGTTGTCCGAATAAGATAATCGTCCCGTTCGGCGGTTACTACTCTCATTTCAATTTTATGTCGCTTTAAATAGACTGTACCAAGTTCTAACACCTAACGTACGAAAGAACAAAAGATTTTACATATCGTAAGTGTGTATAGAATGTTCTTTAATGAGTATACATTACATTTTCCGTATTTCTTTTTGTACTGGTGTTGGTAAATTTCTACGATCATAACATTAGAACAATAATTAATGCCCGGTTTTATTAATAAGATTTCACGTAGATTTTTTTAATACTGTCTCGGGGAGACAATAAATTATTTCCATGGGAGAGAACACGCATTCAACTAGCTGACTTTAAATGAAATCGATCAGTGAAATAATGACAAATGTCGCTGTGATCAAGCTCCGCAGAAGAAAAATAATTTTTGGTAGTATTATAACTTCTTTTATAATTATCGACTTTTTTGTGTAGTATACGTTCTTAATATTGATATTATAACAAAAAAGCGTAGATGTTTTAACACTTTGTCACTTTTGTACACCTCGCAACAGCCCTTAGAATCGTAGATTTGAACGAGAGTAAAGTGAACTGACAACTTCGACCCTTTTAGATTTGAAAGGGTTAACACAAAAACTTTATTAGTATTCCGATCTCAGGTGTTTTGGGATTGGTCTAATTCATAGGATTTTCAAGTTATGAGCGAATTTTTATAATTGTATGACATTAAATCAAAAGAAATAAAGATAAGTTTAATTCTATTTTAGAATATAGATTATGATTTGACGTAAAATATTTGTATTTAAAATGCTGTATGTAAATGTTCATATTTTATAGATGTTATGCTTTTTAACTAAAAGCTGCTTCATAAAGATAAATGACTGATCCACCTTATTTTGCCTACTGTGCATATAATCACTACCATGTGTAATCATCAATTACTTACATAATAATGCAAAAAAATAAGACGTCTAATAGAAAACCGCGACTATAACTTATATCTGCAATAATGTTTAAGCCTCTGACAAATCTTTTCGTGGATACAGGTCCAAGCGAATTGACACAATTTGACAGGAGTCCTTCCTGCCCTAAATGAAAGTGACAGGCTGTGACAGATTTATATTCGTTGTTTTGCCGAATATTCCGAAACGTTAATGGGAAAACCATTGGGTGAAAATGTTACTCTTTATTGTAATAGACAGTAACGGTTATCGAACTCAACTTTTTACTTGTACTAGAATTTTTTTGTAGGAACAAAGTCAGCGCAAAACAATAAATATAAAAACAATTAGTTATAAATAATAATGCAGAGACTTATGAATATCAATGTATGAAAATATAATAAAACGCGGGTAAGACCATGCAGAATCTCAATTCTCAATATACTTGAGGGCACATAAAAGTACTATAAGCGCAAACAAAGTTGTGGAGACTAGTAATTGATTAGTTGTTCAAATCTATACTACACTTTTATTCTAATTATTGGCTCTTGGCTGTTAAATTGATTTTTTTCAAGGCTCAAAGCAATGTAATTTTATAACTTTTCAAAAAAGAAACTGTATATACGGTGTTTTTAAATGAAACATACCGTTTAAACGTTATTAAAGAAGTGTTATATTCGAAGATTACAACACTAAACATTCTTTGTCTCTGTTAACACGTTGATACTGTCATTGTCACAGTGACAGTCGAGATTTGACACGCAGTCAAAATTACGCATAGTCTGTCGCTTCTTTGTACGTCTGTACCAGTAGTGTTACGAATTGTTATTTTTTAACATTTTGAAATGTTTCTACTTGATTTACGAGAACTTTAAATATACTACCGAGAAGTTATTAATTACACATTAACATGAAATAACAATTGTTAGATTTTATAGATATATTGATGTTTCCAGTGCCATTGACTACCTTATGTATTTTTAATAAAGTTCTTAAGAATCCTAATAAGATAGTTATATTGAAACTTCTGTATTGTTTTATTTGAAATTATTTTTTTTATTTTTATTAAAATATAAGCATGAGTGAAGAAAGCTATGAAGAAAGACAAAATAATGAGCTAGTCGCCTTGCAGGTTATATTTATTTTCTTTTTACTAGTGGAAACTGACAAGAATAGTTAATAACTCAAGTTATCTTCACTATTTTAGGCTATTTATGGAGATGCTGTAGTAGATTTTCGCAAGAAAGCTGTATGGAATGAGTGGCGTCCCTCAGATTTATTATTAACTTTGTTACCGCTGCACAATTCTGAAGGTGTACACTGTTCTGTTACACTACAGTTCAAATGTTGCCACAACTATCCTGATAAGTATGTACCTGTGATTTTTGTAATTTTAATTTTTATAATTCAAGTTTTAATTATTTGTGTTTGAAATAAAAAAAACGGAAAACACTTAGTTTCACAGAGCCCTGCTTATGTTACAATTACAAGTAAGTTGGTTGGTTCAAAGCTTACCTTTGGATATACTAATATGAAAAACTTTTCCTGAAATACCTATAACCTTTTTTACCTTAAAGAAAAGAAGAATATGTTAATAGTATTAGATAGAGACAGAATTCTATTACTTATCTGCACAGTAATAGCTAATTCTAATTAAATTCTATTACAGGCCACCAACAATAACAATTCATAAAATGTTTGGTCTGTCTGATGAGAATGCTGCTAAATTACTATCTAATTTAAAGAGTTTGGCTTCTGAACTCTGTGGTGAAGTTATGATTTTCCAATTAGCGCAACAGACTCAGGTATGAGAGTAAATTTAGTTCATGAATTACTCTAAGAATGATTTTTTACGTCATTTACCTACAAATTACTTGGCACTTTTGTAAACAAGCAAATATAATGACAAGAATGGGAAATATGTGAATATGTACCTAAACATTGAAATTTAGAATATAGTACTATCCCATTGATTAAAGTCAGAACACGGGATATGTGGTGCATGGAGTAAACATATTTCCGTACACTGATTGGTTATATTACAGAGAAGTAATTGAACAAATGTCTGCGCCTGCCCAACCAACACAATCTAGTTTTTTCTGAGGGATTCGAACCCAGGACTATCACGCTTATCGCAATGCTTAGCAACATGTTTAACTATTTGACTACAGACAACTAATTATAATATAAAATTTTAATTTAAAGAACCTCTAAAGTCAATACCATGTTATGTTAATATGTACAAGATAAATAAAATTTCAGCAATTTCTACACGATCATAACAAACCGACTCTGTCTTTTTATGATGAAATGTTGAAACAAAAAACAGAAATGGAAAAGTTAAAGCAACATGATATACAACTTAAAGAAAACGAAGAGGTTAGTAAAGAACAGTCTTTTGCACCAACTTTATTCCAATCTTCACTCATTATATAGTTATAAATTAAATGTCTTAACTACATGTTTTATAAATTAGTTGTTACTAGCCATACTATTATCATATTCAGTGATTGAAGTCAAATACAACTTATTGCAGAGGAAAAAAATGAAAGATGAAATTCAAAGGCGTCAAGAAACATTAAAGAGTTCAGAAAAACGGGTCCACCGTTCCAGTCTGAGCCAAGAGCAACCAGAACCTGATGGGCATGGAGATGCTCCTAAGTTACTATAGTAAGTGTCAAATCTTAACAGCTATTATTAGAAAGCTAATTACTATAATTACCCAAAATTTCGGTGGTAAGATGTATGTTATGTTATGTTAACATAAGTTTCTAAATTAAATAAAATTTTGTCTATTGTATCCTCTCTTTTTAGTTATGCTGATGAAAGAATGTCGCCGGCAAAAAAGGTGACGCGCGCCCGTACTGGGAACATTCCATGCACGTGCAATAGTCGCGGTGCGCAAGTATTAAGGTATACCCAACGGAATAATAAGAAAGTGTATATAGGAAACTGTTTAGGTAAGTCCTCAGCTATAATGCACAAAATCAGTCTCTAGGGAATTAAGTTTAATTTCTTGCTTAAATAAAGGGTGAAGAACAGAGTTAGAAAAACGCTTGGACTCTTCACCTGGGCCTTCTGTTGGTGCCCCTAAAAGAAAATAATAATGATTGGTAAAATGAATGTTACTTTTTTTCCCTACCAAACCAACACACTTTATCATGTTCCCACTGTTATTAGAAAGACTTAGTTAGTTAGACCAGTAAGACTTCAACCAATCAAAAACTTACAAGAAGATCTTACTTGAAATCCAAATTTTAAATACTAATTTTATTGCCTAATATCACATATTTGCTTAGCCAATCGCGTTTCGGTCTGTGGATATCCGAATACCCGTGGCGTTGTCAGTCTATCAATTTTTAAGATCTTACATAGCCATGTAGAAGAGTACCCCAGCTAGGGTACTCTTCTTGGGTACTAATCTTCTATCAAGTGCATCTCATGCTTGTTTGTCATTCTGATAAAAAAAGATAATATGAAAACGTAATAATAATAAATGAACTAAATGTAGCACCTATTTTCTTGTTTCTTACAGGCCACTCTTCAAACGGCTCCACGACTTATCTCGCAATCGACGACGACGGTCAGCAAGTAATCGCAAAGAAGTGGTGTCTCTCCCCTGCCTCGGATTTCCAAACGAGAAATAAACAACTCAACTCGATCCAACTAGAACTCAAAGCTATGTGCCGCTTGAAACATCAATCTCTTATTCCCTACATCGCCATGGAAATGTTGACCGAATCGAAACGATCGCCACGCCAATATGTATACATCTTTCGGAACTTTGTTCTCGGCAGCTCGTTGAAATACTTGCAAGATAAGAGTTCGTTTGGCGATTTGTTTGAAGTTTTGAAGCTTGTGCGTCATATTGCATTGGGAGTGTTTAGCGCGTTGAAGGAATTGCACAGTATTAACGTGTTACACCGGGATGTGAGGTGTGAGAATGTGTTCTTGGAGGATAGTGGAACGGTCAAACTGGTTGGTGCTAGCTTGGATATTCGGTTAACTGAAATTCATGATGGAGATAGTTTTGGTGAGAGGTGAGGTTTTCCTATACACTGAAAGTACTTCATAATTTTTCCAATGTATTACACTAAAGAACAAAACACTTAACGGTTTGAAGCGAAAAATATTCGTTTATTCATTTATAACAGCGACCCGAAGTTTCCGCTCTTTGCAGCAACCATATTAAAAATAGTATATTTCGTATTTTAAACTGTTGAAGTGGTTGTTTTACGTATATTTTAACTAGGCACGCTAAATAAGTTTACATTATCAAAACTAAAGTATACTAAAGAATATTGCTATATTAAAGAATTCTTTTTTATTTTAGACACACCAAAGCTCAAGACATTTATGCTGCAGCTCAATTACTGCTATCAATAGTTTCACCGGAAGCAATACAAGAGATACCACCTGACTTTCCCGGTTCTGCTAAGGACTTCTTCTCAAGGTAAAAAGTTTTTCATTACTAAAACTTCCAAAGTTACAGTTTTTTTATACACTGAACTAAATAAAAAAAAAGAAATATAAAGAAATATTGAAAACATCAGATATTAATACACATTTCAGCTTTTGAAATAATTGTAGATGTTTGACAGAGGATGAGCATTCTCAGTGGCCGGCCGAACAGCTGGTGCAGCACGGATTTCTTGTTGATGCACCTGTCAAGTTGCCCAACAGCAAAGAGAATAATAAAGCAAATAGTGAATCTGAGGTGAGGTTAAAATTATTTTAATACGAGAAGTCACGAAGAATAGAGTTATTAATTTTTTATTAGTAATATAAATAAATGAATACTTAACTGTATTGAGGAGTTATCTAAAATTGATAGCACTTAAAAGAGTAAATTTATAAAATTAATTATAAAACAACGACACGCCGATCGTTTTAGCTATTTTAAGTGCGACAATTCTACTAATGAAACGTAATTTTCTTGTTAGGATGAAGATGGTGCTAATAAAATTAATAATATAAGTACTCTAGCTAATGGCCATTCGAGATTAAATGCAGAGTTTGAAGTTCTGACATGGCTCGGCAAAGGTGCTTTTGGAGATGTACTGAAGGTGATTTGGTTTTATTGTATTTGGTATCTTTAATTAAATTTTAGTTATTTTTCTACTTTAGGGTGCTTTTTGTATTTTGCAACAATACTATGTAATTTTATTTCAAATAATCTGACAGTGTTAATCTTTATTCCCAAGGTGAAAAATAAACTCGACGGTGGCTTCTACGCTATCAAGCATGTCAAATTGAATCCAAAAAGTGTTGAATTGAACAAAAAGATTACTCGCGAAGTGAAATTATTGTCGCGGCTAAATCATGAAAATGTCGTCAGATATTATAATGCCTGGATCGAGACTATCATGGACACAGAAGTGGAAGAAACGACTGTTGCGAGGACCCCTGTTAGGAGGAAAGGGGATAGTCTTGCTGATGTTGTAGCTAAACTAGGTCAGGAGGTCAAAGTGAGTATATTTTTCTATGGTTGGCAAGATCAATGTTTCTTATTTCTGCTAATGACTTATGAAGCTACAAAGGACATTGGACCTATATTAGTTTATCTTAAGGTCGAAATTTGCCTGCTGGGTCATCGATTGTTTATCTAATTTTTTTTTAATTCCACAGATAAACTGGTCAATGTCGGATGGTCCAGTACAGGCTAGGGATAGCGAGTCATCGGACACTGAAGAGGAATCTGATGACGACGATGAACCAGATCTCTGGTTCAATATTATGAAGTAAGACAGACGAAGCTGTAATATTTTAACTGTAAATAAGCTTTACGAGTAGAATAAAAAATATTGAATTTTCAGCCCGGACGAGGATTCAAGCAGCGTGATAGAATTCGAAGGTGACTCCCAAAACCAGTCTCTCACTCTGCCGTCTGAGGAAACCACGATTGCAGTGGAACCACGTCTTCAACAAGTGCTCTATATTCAAATGGAGTTTTGCGAGAAGAATACTCTTCGTCAAGCGATAGACAATTCACTGCATAGGGAACATTTCAGGGCTTGGAGACTTTTTAGAGAGATTTTAGAAGGTACATATAAAATTATATAAATAGTTATTAGCATTTATGATTTGTCGAAAGTACATTTGAATGTCCCTTGAATTAGTTTAAAACATTGTAAAGGTCCTGACTTAACTAATATAGTTCGCTTTTTAAACCGTTAGTGTTTTATTTAAATGCTCGTAAACATTTTCAGGCCTAGCCCACGTTCACCAAAAGGGCATGATACACCGAGACTTAAAACCTGTCAATATTTTTCTGGATTCCAATGACCACGTCAAAATTGGTGATTTCGGTCTCGCAACGAAAGTTTTCACTACTTTGCCTGTTGATGGTAAGAGTTTCATAAATTTATACGAATATATTAATCCTATGAAAAGAAATAATAAAGGACGTATTTATTTTCAGATAGGGTGCAGGAGAGTAAAGATAATGATGGTCTTCTAACGGGAAAGGTTCGTTTCTTAACCATAATAGTCAGTCATACTAGATTTTTATTTTATATGTAACCCAAAATCTACACTAATATTATAAAGCTGAACTGTTTGCACGAAAATTAAGAACTATTTATGGTTCAAATTGAACATTTTGTGTTTGTTGGACTCACTATCAAGGACGGCTTTAGGATAACAAATATTTGGCTGCGACCAATAGGAGCAAAGAAACAGAGGGACTTTTTTTGTACCTGTAGAGAGGAACCTTCTTTCCTACATATTTGTTGGGTATCGTGAACCGTTTTCGCAGCGTACGGAATGGAAACCCTCAAGGATGAATATTTATCCCTGTTTTTTCGACATTTCCCGCTGTTTCTTCGCTGCTTTTTGTCACAACGCGATGTTTTATAGCATATATCTTAAAGCTTAAACAATCAAACAAACATAAAAACAAACTCATCAGCTTTATATTTGAGTATAGGTATCAATTCAACCGATATTATTATTTCATTTAATTAGATAAACTTATTTACTTTAACGTGTAGACTACATATATACTGTATTTTTGCCTTAGTATAACTTAAACTCAAAACCGTTTAATTAAATCGTAATTTTAGGTAGGCACAACACTATACGTGGCGCCAGAACTTCAGCAATCTGCCGCAAAAGTGATATATAACCAGAAAGTGGATATCTACTCGCTGGGTATAATACTTTTCGAGATGTTTAACTCGCCCTTCGAAACGGGCACGGAGCGATTCGCAGTGCTTACAAATTTAAGGAAGAAAGATATTGTCATGCCGAAGGAATTTGTTCGAGAAGAGAATGCAAAACAGATTCACGTTATAAGGTAAAGTAATCTTAATCTAGTAAATAAAGAAATGTGTTGCAAAGCACGAACAAAGACTTGGGTTTGAATCCCTTGGAAATGATAATTTTTCAATCAGACAAGGCCCAGTAATCTCATCGACCACGAAGTCCTACCTACAGGTTTCAGAAAATGTATAAATTGATCAGAAACATGTTGGACCTACTGGGAATTGAACCCATGGTCTTTTAGTAATGTAATAAACGTAAATGTAAGGCACATTGCAACCATTACAAATGAATTCTGACTCTTAACTTATCCATTTTTGCTTTCTAGGTGGTTATTGCATCACGACCCAGCCTCTAGACCTACTAGCGCAGAACTATTAGCAAGTGAACACGTACCAAGGACGGTCCCCGAAGGCGCGTTATCTGGTCTTCTTTCTCATACTCTATCAGAAAGGGGTTCTAGGGCGTATCAAAGACTTATCTCTGCCTGTTTGGATCAAAAACCATCACCAGCAGAGGATTTCACCTACCACAGTGGCGTAAAACACAAGCCAATGGATGTGATAGCGGCGATAAAAGATGTTATTACTAAGGTAATTTAATATTGTCTTAGTGACCACTCTGTAAATGTAGTTAACACGAGTAGCACACATTTAAATAAAACATTTTTAACCGTTTGAAACGCGAAATATTAGTCATCTTATTTTTTATTTAGATTGACTACGTCCTAACGTTTTAGATGCTTTGTAGCAGCCGTGACCACGGCTCAACAACTTATCTAATATGTTTCGCATTTTAAACCATTTATAGTGTTTTATTGCTGCCCTAATGGCATCAGTTTCGAATACTAGAAGTTTCCTTAGCCTTTTTTATTCCTTGTTGTGGAAAGAATAGCACATTTACTTTTAAAACATAGTACAAGTGATCGAGAAGTGTATATATAACGAAGCTTTATTGGTAGAGCGATGGGTAGAGTTCGAATCTCGTTTGTGTATTTTTTTCCATCTATAATATTATACGAACGCGTTTTTACGTAGTCTTTAATAAGGTGACCGTAGAAGTAACGTGCAGACTTAACTACAGAATTTACACGAATTGTGCACATTAAATTTACACGTTTTAAATTGTTCAAAACGCGAAATGTAGTAAGTTAATTTATTTACCACGTATACAACTCTGATACTACAGACATCGTATGTTATTTGCAATGGTAAAAGCTTAATGTCGATTTTGTCTTTACAGGTGTTTCGTAGTCACGGCGCTACAGAATTCTCGCCACCGTTGTTGATACCGCGAGCAAATAGATGGGACCAATATCCGAATTCTGTGAAAGTAATGACTTTATCTGGCTCCGTTTGCCATCTGCCGCACGATTTAAGGTTGCCCTTTGCTAGGTAAGTTGTAAGAACGACGAAGACAAAAATTCACTCGTGTGAGTGGAGTTTTGTAATTTATATTATAGAGGAGGGAAAGACAAGCATGTTAACTTGATAGCAATTGAGTTACCCTCGCCATATAACATCAAAACCAAATGCGTTGTCGACCGTTTTTGTTTTGGATATTCGGAAAATCACAGACTGAAACCTAAAGGCGATTAAACTTGACGGTGATTCGTAACTACCCTTTTAATATCCAGATTTTAAGACGAAGTCCATCATGTTTCAGAATAACGATAAATTGATTACATGTTGGAGTCGGTGGGGATCAAACCCGTTGATTATTAGCTATATATTGCTACTATTGCACTAACAAGTCCATCAGAAATTGTTGAAATATGAACTTTTCTATTGTAAAAACCTTTTTATTTCCAGACATATAGCCTATTCGGGAATAAAATATGTGCGCCGTTACGTAATGGACCGGGTATACAGAGAAACGGAACGGACTTTAAAAGGCTTTCATCCTAGGGAGATTATTGAGTGTGCTTTTGACATGGTCACACCAAGTAATGGTTAGTATAATTTTTAGTCTTTTAATTTATAGCCCCCCCCCCCCCCCCCCCCCCCCCCCTTTTTTTTTTTTTTGGGGGGGGGGGGACAAAAAAAAATTTTTTTGGGGGTTTTTTTCCCTTTTTGGCCAAAAAACCCAAAATTTTTAAGCCCCTTTTTTTCCAAAAAAAAATTTTCCCCAGGTTACCCGGGGAAAAGGGGGCTTTGGAAGGGGGGAAAATTTTTTAAAAAGGGCCCGGGGTTTTTGTGCCTTTCTTAAACAAAAAAAAAATTCCTTTTTACAAAAAGAATATTTGTTTTCTTAATAGAGCTTTATTAAAAAAAAATGGTAATTGGTTAATAGACTTTTTATGTATTTTATAAAATGACAGATGTTAAATACTGTCTGTAGTTTACGCGAGTGGTACATATTTAAATAAAACACTGTAACGGTTTGCAGCAACCGTGGTCTCCCCGTGACCATGGCTGCTGCAAAGCATCCCAAACGTCGGGTCGTAGTAAAAAATAATTTTCAAACAATTTTAAAATATATCACGTTTTAAACCGTTGAAGTGTTTTATTTAAATGAGAGATGTTATGAAACCTTGCTAAGTCAAATGTACTTCAAAACCTCATATTTTTACTAACAACAATTGTTTTACATATGCAATAAAGTAAAAATACAGTAGGGCCTAGTTAATCCGGAGACGCAAAACAAGATTCTTTTCGGATTATCGAGGCGTCCGGATTATCGTATTTCATACATTAATGTTGATAAAACACATATTTAACATTTCTTTGATCAATTTATGTAGTTAACGTTTCATCAATTTATAAATTACAAATGTATAGCAAAATAAGTGTATCATATAGACAAAATGGTCAAAATTACAACCATTTAGAACAAACAACATTTTTGTTTTGAACTTGGCTTTTTATATTCCTGTTTTTGGTGGGATATTTATTATTTTTAAGTGATATAAAGGATATATATATTTCTGTTCAGATACACTTTGGCCTGACGCAGAACTTCTAGTAGTCGCATGTCGGGCAGCGACGGAAAGTTCCCTCAAAGTCACCATACAGTTGAACCACACGGATCTGTTGAAAACGCTGCTGTTATCCTGTGGGGTGCCTCTGGACAAACATGCACTGATCTACCCTGTTCTTGTGGATGTAAGCTTGGGTAAGATTTTATTGTTATAGAAACCATAAAAGTGTATTGATATCTGTTCTGTCAAATATGAACCTTTGTTATTTAATTTTCAGTGATTTCTTAGATTAAAAACGATAGTCAACCACAATACATAAGTGTTGAGGTTGAAATTACATTGCACTAGAGGAGCAAGTCTCAAAGATAAAAGAAATTTGACGATGATGTGCATGTAGGACACGGTAGCTCAATTGGTTAAAGCAGTAGCTCAGAAGCGCAGTTCAAAGCCCGCCTGTCACATTTTTTTTATTTTAAATAGATTCTTATTTATTCTTATTAACATCCCTTGGCCTTTCTGTGTATTTTCTTTTTGGTAATTTACGAGATAATGCAGGGATTCTGTTCTTTAAGAAGATTTTGTAGAGTATGACATTATTTATTTAAGAACAAGTAAGATAAGTCTGATAGTAAAAACGTTTAATTATTCCAGGTCGCATAACAAGCCTCCAGCTTCAAACTCATTTGGCTACCCTCTGCGTGACCAACCGAGACATTACCAACCTCCTCCGGCTCATGGAGGCTGATGTAGAAGTGAAGCAGGTCAGAGATCTAATAGCCCAAGTCAGGAGTGACAAGTGGAGTGAGACCCTGGAGAGAGCAGTTGTAGAGTTAGAAACTGTTTGCAGTTATGCTGCTGTTCTGGGTTGTGAGGTGAGGAGAATTTAGGGGTATATTAGCACTAATTAAATAAGCTATAATGTTTTGGAATTATTTTTATTGCACATGACGGTATTGTATAAATAAAAAAATGATTAAGTAAAAATTACTTCTTATTTTATTGGCATTCCATCTTCGACGACAACTAGCCTATTATTTATAACAATTGTCTATACAAATCTTTGAACATAGTAATAAGCAAGAAACAAATACTATCTACTTTATTTTATTTGAACGTAAAAATTCTAGTGTCAAATAACAGTGGCCCCGTTCCTCGCGTACAATGCGACTCAACACCGCGGCGTTTTCTGGCAAATGTCGGTGTTGAGACAGCATCATTTGCGGCCCTCGGCGAAGCATCGATCCAAAGACCTAATAGCAGCGGGTGGAAGGTAAATATAAAAAACAAAAAAAATAATGCCACAAAAACAAACAAACGAAAACCAGAACACGAATAATAATCTATTATAGACAAGACGGACAGACAATTACATTTATTATTATTCGTTTCTATCGGGGACACCGATAGACCACCAGGTGGTCAGTCCAGTCTACCTGCTTACTATTTCACCCATGTCTTTATCTCTTTCTCGCAGAATACTTTGGGTAATCCAACTCTTACTGTGTCCCTTTAAACCTTTCCAGTTGTCCAGTGATATTGCGTTAGTTTCCGCAAAATATCTGTGCTTATATTTTAGTCGCTGGGAAAGTAATGTTTGACTCCTTAATTGTATTGGTATTTTAATTTGTTTTGGCTTAAAGAAAGAACAATGATGATTTTGGAATTAAAACTTTAAAAAATTGTATTACTTCTTTCAGGTATGATAACCTCGTAGAGGAGTTTTGGAAGGTGGCTCGGGCTGAAAAAGACCACGAGGATTCAGAACTGCAATGCAGTTCTGTCGGTTTTTCAATGGCAATAGAGAGGATGGCCGCCATATTGAAGAGTTTGGATATAGATGTTTCTACTACAAAATCAAATGAGGTAAAGATTATTCGAGATATTAAGTATAAAACTAACAATATCACATTAGTCCTGTTAGTATCTTACTAAGGTCTCTTATAAATACATCAATCCCTAATCCAATATTTATAATATTATAATATTAAAATAAACTTTTGACGGTTTAAAACGCGAAATATATTTGTTAACTTATTTACAATTTATTTTAACTACGGCCCGACGTTTTAGACACTTAGCTGGAGCCGTGGTCACGATCGCCGGGGTTATCTAATATATTTCGCGTTTTAACCTTAAAATTTTTATATAAATGTGTACTAATCACATAAAATACAGATATTTTTTTATATTTCAGCGTGAGTTAGTGTGCGTGTGTCTATCGGGTGCTCACGCACGGGAAGGGATAGACTCAAATCGAGGCAGACTCGCTCGACAACTCTGGGCTCATGGCTATAGTGCAGTCTGTTGGCCCTGCAGTGCGAGCGAATCCCATGACCTCACTAGGGCCTCTATAGTCCTGGTGCCAGTGGACAACTATGTGCTTGTGTCGTATTGGGAGGGGACAAGGTATGGTTATATCGCCGTAAGACTGTCAACTGTCTATCTATCTAGTTTGCATTAGATATCGATCTTATCTCACATTAGGCTTATTGACCGTTTATTAAAAATTTGACGAGGTTTTTTTATCGAAGAAATATCTAGAAATTGAGAATTGATATATTCTTTCCCGCTCTACAACTACGTCATATTACTTATTTATAAATTATCACATTCTTATATTACCATTATTGTAAAATTGTAACAAATGTACTGAATATTTAGTACATTTTTATAATATTCTAGTACAGATTACATTTTTATTAATTTCAGGGTGCGAGAGTACAAAGTGCCGTTTGCGGATGTGGTCGACTTTGTTAAACAAAAATTAAGTCCCGATACAGCAGTCCGAAACCCTGATTACGGTAAGATATTTAAATTTTGACGTATTTTATATTATATTCAATAGTAATACATGAGAATTGTTCTCAGGTAACCGATCAATAAGTTGGTGTGAGAGTGACAAATCTAGCGGACCCTGTATTTCGGTTACATTTGTCAAAGCTTCAAACAGAATAACCAAGAACTGTAAACGACACTGTGAAGCGCAGGTAAGAATCAATTCTCTTTATCACCTCCTTTAGATATTTCGTAAAGTTATAATATAAAAACTTTTTATCAACTGTCAAGAAACTAATTTTCCATCTAGTGTATAGATAATCTTTCAACAAAAAGATATTATAATGAATTTGTTAACTTGTAAATTGTTATTGCATTTAAATTTTTTTTCATAATGAAATTCTTTTTTTGTGAATGTTGTAGTGTAATAAAGGAGAAGTAATAACTAAGACTTGATGTATATTTAAATTATAAAAGGCCTCAGCGGCCATTTTGAAAAACTACTTGGCTGTGCGCGCATTGTAATTGAGAAAACAGTCAACAATTTCGAGACAGACTCGTTCTCGACTCGAGATCCTCACTGACTCCAACAAGTTTCTAGTTAATTTATTATTCTTTTGAAACATGTTGGACGTGTGGAAATGTAGATATAGGCGGTAGGAAGATTACCGTCCACAGATAAAAAAAGCGGTGAAGCAGGTCGATATCTCATCTTGTCAAGATGTTACATGGCTGATGATATTTCACCTTCCATCGAGTGAATCTCTAGTAAAATTTATATACAACCGAAGATCAAAGCCTGAACTGAACCATGCTTAATATTTATGCAGATTAACAACCAGATAACGTCTATGCTCGTGCATCTGGGCTTACAAAATTCACTTGGGCGCGTAAAAGTCAGCGTTATAGCGATGGCGTGCGAAGCGGCCTGTGTCCGCCAGTTGTGCGCTCACCTGTCGGCGCCTCTTCATCCGCACTATTTGCCTCACGTTTTCAGACAAGTTTCTGACGAGTAAGTGTTCTATATCTATAAAAAAAACTGCCATTGCGATCTGAGCTTCTACTCTACTTGTACGATCTACATTCTTGATTTTATTTATTTTTAATATATATAGAGCCATGTACAACGTGGCGTGTTTCAAACATGAGTACCTTTGAGCACGCCTACTGTAAAAATTCCGGAGACGTCGAGTTTTTGTAAAAATATCTAATATATTTTGCGTTTTAAACAGTTAAACGTGTTACTTGAATGTACCGCTTTAATTACAGGGAATGGTGTACAAAATAATTAATATCTTTGATTCTATGCTGTAAATATTAAAATAAAATCTGTTGAATAAAGCACGCTAACGTTAATGATTAAAAACGCGATAAACATTAGTTAAACTTATTTGAAAATTATTTTAAATCTGACCCGACGTTTCTGATGCTTTGCAGCAGCCATGGTCACAGGGAGCTTCCTCGTTTTAACCATTGAAGTGTTTCATTTCAGTTTCGCGAAACGTCAAAATATCTTAGAAGAAGCGCTTCAGGAGTTGACGAATCTTGTGAAACAGAGTAACCAGAGTCGTTCGCCAGAGGAAACACAACTCTACGCTCTGTATTCTATACCAGATTCATTGTGTAGAATAATTACTTGATTTTATATGTAAATGACGACATGTTTTGAGATGTATTTTAGCCATTACCAAACCAAGTTTTATCATAACCACCTCTATGGCTCATTGACGCTCTCGGTAACGCGGGGTCATAGGTTTGAATCCTCGTGACACCTAAAAGTCAAGAATAGCAATTCTGATATTTTAATGAGACTACTTGTTAGTAAAAGTGAGAACATGTACACGCATTTATTTTTCTATCCTATGAATTTCATTGCCCAAATGGCCATGTTGTTGTATGTGATATTTAAGTAATGAATTAAAGGAATTACTATTATTTTACAGTTGTTTGACTATTGGAATTCATTCTAACAATCTTTAGACATCCTTTAAACTGGTATGAAGTTAAACATACATTTCTTTATTTTAAATGATAGAGGAGCCTAATGGCATCTCAACAGGATGCACTGTGCCATATTTTGGCTGTGGATATTTGAAGTATTCTGAATATATTGTCCAATCATTAAATACTAACACAATTGTTTTTGAAGTACAAATAATTGTGGAACGATTCAATATTATGCCTAAAGAAATAAAGAATATAAATATATAGGAGAAAGAAATTCCTACAACCTTAGCCGACAAAAAGGAACAACTCATAATTAAGATATACTAACAGCCTCATTAAAATTGAATTCGACCGTCGTAATTGACTGAGAACGACTTCTTTGCGAAATGACCGCAAAAGGCCTTACAATAAACGAAATATATTTATCATTTATCCTTAATTGGAGGTAAAATACGCTAAGCCAACATGCCCACTGTTTCAATATTATCCACTAGCGACACTATCTGTTAGCGACTTCGTCTGCGTAGATTAATAATTTATCAAAATTTGTCAAAAACCTGTTCAACTCTATAAATTTAACTTTCACTTACGACAAGTCGTTCTGGCAAGTTAATCTTGATATTAGTTAATAGACTTAGTATTAGTAGTATCATGAACCGTTTTCGCGTTACAACGCGGCCGGGTAGCGCGACAGCCTCCCTCGAAAACTCTAACCACACAAAAATAATTTGTTATTTCGAACCAGAATTTCTGAGATTACCGCGTTAAAAAACGTTCAGTTATTTCTTAGTATAGATCAGTAATACCCAAAGTGAATAGAGGAGTCTACGTGGTATAAAATGGAAATCTACACTTTAAGCGTGGGTGCATGAAAATTAATTGGGTTTCGATAGTGAAGAAGTCTTGGCTTCTCTTCTCTTCCTCGTTAAAACTCAGCGACAACGCAAGTTTCCTCATATAAATAGATTTAATCTTCAATTAATAATATGTATGATTCTATGATAAAAGAGTTTGGGAACCACTGGCATAGATTAACGAAAAGTATGTCTACTACTGATTTTTCAAAGACCTAAATATTCAAAGTGATGCATTTCACGTAAGTGTTACGTTCTCCGCTTACTTGCACATCCAGGTATAACGCTCCGCTGCATTCCACTTGCCACGTTCCAAAGTGTGTTCTGCATGAACTAAAAGGTAAAGTGCTTTCAACCTTCTCTAAAGGAAAGCCCGCTTTTGTAAATAATATATTGAGCAACACTCTCTTTAATGCGTTATTTATAGGTACGGGCTTAGTATATCCTGCGTTAGTATCTTGAATGTTATGTTATAGATATATGTATTACAAATATATTAAAAATATCACTTAAAAACCTAGCTGGAATAAATTATATAAATATATTTTTATATGATATGTATGATTCTAGGCTATCGACCTATTTTGGTTGATATTTGAAAATCTAAAGATTGAAACCGAAATCCGATTAAACTTGACAGAATACAGTCCACAGATGGCTTTATCTGTATTTTGTCACCTAGACGGAATTTCGATATTCCTACCACCTATTTAATATTCTAATTTTCCAGACGAAGTCCAATATGAAAGAATATAAATTGATACAAATATGTTGGACCCGGTGGGTGACCCACGACCGGTTGATAGCCATACATTGATACCATTACACCAACGAGCCCTTCAGCGTTCCCATCTGTAATATTCAGTCCCGTCCGTATTAATAATTACTTCGTGGGAAGAAGCGGTTTTCTATACTACCAATCGTAACAAAACGTAACCGCAAATGTACTTCCTAAGTAATATATATTATGAACTAGCTGTGCCCGCGACTTCGTCCGCGTGGAATAGTGTTAGAATTTTTATTTATTTATGCAGTTTATTTATTTATGAAAGGGCGCATTTAATCTTCGGGCGCATCTATGTCGTTAGTGCTACTTTGCCGCAACACTCTTACCTAACATCACTCCTACTCTCATCCACAGCCCTACTCCCACTCCTACTCCTATTCCTATTCGCAAAAAGCCAAAGAAGAAAGTTTCATTTTCTACTTCAACAACACAAACTTTCCATACAAACTTTCATCCCCTTTTTATTTGGCATTCAAAGTATTTAGCCTATGTCCTTTCTTAGGCTCTAAAATATCTTTGTACTAAATATCACTTAAATCAATTCAGTAGTTTCGGAGTTAAAGCCAGACAGACAGACGGAGTTCCTTTCGCATTTATAATATTAGTATAGATATAGATAGATAGATTTTACTGTGCGCTCTTATTGGGATTGTCAAATACAAATTTATAAAATTGTTTTATCCGTCCTCGTCGATTTTTTTCAACATTTGTTTATGAAGTACTTTTTACTGACTATAAATAAAGTGTAGTTAATTTTTTTAATTCCATTATTATGTTCATATTTTGCTTTGCAGTAACTTCGTGTAAGCGTGGCCGCAAGAATAACAGAAGCCAGCTATTAAAGAAAGTTACATTTCTTGAAGTTTACTGTAAAATATAAGCGCATGTGGAGAAAATTGTTCTCACTGGAAAAATCAGTATTGTTTAGTTAACAGCTGTGCTTTGCCGTTAGCGTTTATTTTAGAATTCATATTTATATGCACTAAATATATGAAGGAAGTATTATTTTGTGTCCATATTAACACGATATGTGTTTATTAATATACACATTTTATATTAGCAAATTAATAAACTAACAATAGTAAAACCTTATTGATTTAATTTAGTAAAACTGCATACCACTATGTTTATCCTTAAAAAACGCGAACACCACCTGTAATTAGAATACGACCTGATAAAGCCGACTGTTGGACAATTTTTTAAATTATTTCACCTAATAATCATAAGAAAGAACTAATAGATACGAAAAATCATTATTAGATCGGAACTAAAAAAAAAAAAAAAAAAAAAAAACCCCCCACCCACAAAAAAAAAATTAATAAAAAAAAAAAAAAAAAATTTTTTTTTTTTTTTGGGGGGGGGGGGCAAAAAAAAAAAAAAAAAAAAAAAAAAAAAAAAAAAAAAAAAAAAAATAAATTAAAAAAAAAAAAAAAATAACTCCGCCCCGCCCCGCCGCGCTTTGCAGCCGCCGCGGCCCCGGGGGGGGGCCGCGGCCGCGGGCCGCGCCCCCGGCTGCTGCCAAGCATCCGAAACGTCGGGCCGAAGTTAAAAATCATTTTCAAATAAGTTTAACTAATATATCGCGTTTTAAACCGTAAGAATGTTTTATTTAAATAATATAAGGATTTTCAAATCATAATTTTATAAGTCTCCTATAAAATACAAAGTTGTAATAATCGTATGTATAATATACAAACTTACTTATACTATATACATAATGTAAAAGGAAACATCTGCTTACCTAAATAACGTTTGCCTCCACATTTCAATTTATTTCAAGTATATAGCTTTTGTTGGAATATGTTTGTGTTATTTCACAAGTTAATCGAATTCAACCGTTGTTCAAATGTAAAAATTAAATTTGTTCAAGTTAGCTCGTGAATATCGAAAAAATAGCATAAAGTCGTTCTTTTTATAGTCAGTATAGGAATATAGTTTTTTTTTCTTTTTTTCAAATAAAAAACACCTTAAACGGATTGAATTACTTAGTTAATAATGGGCGTAAAGTTTTAAGTTCTTATTTTAAACAGTTACTTGCTTATTTTGCTGTGCTACTAGCATAAACCACAAAAAAATATTTTAAATACAATACACAACGACGACCCGACACTTCGTGCTTTGAACCGTTAAAAGTGTTTTATATAAATGTGTTCTAGTCGCCTTTAAAACCACGACAAACTATCGACGGGCTTTTTGGTGTAATGGTAGCAATGTACGGTTAATAATCGATGGGGCGTGGGTTCGATCCCCACCGGGTCTGCCATTTTTCTAATCAAATTATAATTTTTCTAAAATATATTGACTTCGTCTGGAAATCTCAATTATGGGTGTTATGGACGTGGCTCATAAAGAGCCGTTAAATTTATCACGTTTTGGTTTCAATCTGTGGATTTCCAAATATCCAAACCCAAAATAGGTCGACAGCGGATGCTAAAATTGTTTAAATGCTGGGCTATAGGCTGGGCTTTTGGCTGGCTTTTTATCCTCCTCTATTATTGAAAAAAAAAAAAAACACAGACAGTACTTAGAAAGAAATCTTGTTTGTTGTCTAGAACAATAATTCAATTATTCATAGAAAAGATATTTCTTATTTCGGTTCACATCTGTACCTTTTCTAATAAGAATAGCAGGTAACTCCAAGCTCGATACATCAATACTCTTGGGTCTTTACTATTCTCGTCGCAGAAGTAGGTCGCAGTTTGTTGTCATATGATACATTGCTTCCAGCGTAGTAGCAACGAGACAAGACTAATTTTGCTCACTGGAATATTGCGATTCTCAGCCATATCACGCCTACCGTGCCGAATTTATTGCGAGCAATATTTATTTTTATGCTCCCACAGTGGCCTAAGTAATAATAGCAGAGCGATGATGGTTTCTCCTTCTTCGGTCAGAAAGAAAATGACTTGACTTTGAGTTTCTTAAATAATTTAATTATCACAATTTTAATTTAGTCTTATTTAAAGCGTGTTGCATAGCGTCCTAGCATCACGTTAAGGGTGAAAGGTCCTCAGTTCGAATCCTAGGGAAACAATAAGTGTTCAAGATGGAT